GCCTTCGGTGGAACCCCTTATGGGGCAACGAAGCGATGTCCTGGGTGGCGTTGTCGCATGCTGGCGGCCCCACTGGAGCATTCGGTGGAGTTCCCTCTTGGGTGCCGTTGGCGCATGCGGCCTGTGCCACTGGAGCCTTCGGTGGCGCTGTCTATGGGGCCACGAAGCGCTGTCCTGGGTGGCGTTGACGCATGCGGGCGGTCCCGCTGGGACCTTCGGTGGGGCTCCGTATGGGGCCACGAGGCGCTGTCCTGGGTGGCGTTGACGCATGCGGGCGGTGCCACTAGGCCGTCGGTGGAGCCTACGTATGGGGCCACGAGGCGCTGTCCTGGGTGGTGGTTGACGCATGCGGGCGGTCCCACTGGGACCTTCGGTGGCGCTGTCTATGGGGCCACGAAGCGCTGTCCTGGGTGGGTGAAACGCAGGGAGGAAGGAGGAGGGGGAGGATGGAGGCTGGGTCGGAGGAGTGAGGCGGGAGGAGGCCCACCAGACACAACGATGGGCATGGGTTTGCGGCAAGGATGGCGGGGGCCGACATGCTTCCCGATGTGTGTCACGTGTGCAGGCGCACCTGACGCAATCTGCACGTGCGCCGAACATGGCGCGGCCGGAATGTGCGGCGCACGTGGCGCACTCGGAGCACGTGGCGCATCTAGCGCACCAGGCGTGCTTGGCACGCTCGGGCCCCAGGGGTGCCTGGTGCGCTTGGCGCCCCTGGCACGCGTGGCGCACCTCGCCCAAGCGTCGCGCATCTGGGGTCGGCTTTGGTTCCCAGTGGCTGTCCACCCAACGACGAACGCCGAACGCGCTCAGGCCCGGGTGCTACTTATGTGTTGGGAGGGCGGGCGGGAGTGAGCTAGACGGCTTGCGGGCGGGTGGGTAGCTTGATCACTGTTCCCTATTGGTATACCCCCCCTCCCCCAGGCGACTGGGAGCCAACCGGGGTCAATGCGGGCCCCCCCACCCCCACCATCCCTGGTAAAATTATCCCGGCAAAGCAACCTAACAGCCATGTGTAGGAGCATCTCTGGGTCGAACAGCATGTCGATGTATCATATGCACAAACTTAAAGCGGGCGCGTTACGTTAGGAGGAGGGATCAAGGAGAGGAGGCCGGCGAGGGGGGGGCTGTGCCCATCCGAGGGAACGGGGCAGCCCCCCCGCCCCAAAAAATGCTTCGGCCTCTCAAGGCCCCCCCCGCTCCACGAATCCCATTGGGGGGTCGAGACCCCCGCTCTGCAGTGGGATTCGCGGAACGGGGCGCCCCCCAGGTGCTTGTTATCTTCGCGCTGGCGCCGGCAGTGTGCACCTGAGGGAGCGCGGGCTGAAATGAGTGAGGGATCAGGAAGGATGTGGAGGGGCGTTCCGCTCTGAAGCGTCCTCACAATCTGGCAAAACCGCAACCCCTCCCCGGGGGCACCGCGCGTGCTGGACCAGGCACATGCGTCGCCCTAAGTCGGCGCGCACATATGAGAGGCCCATGTTTGTGTGTCTGTCCCCCAGGAAGGCCCGACATGGCGAGCAGAAGACCCGAATAATTCGTCCGGTGTGTCTGTCCCCCAGGAAGGCCCGACATGGCGAGCAGAAGGCCCGAATAATTCGTCCGAGGGGCTCCCCAGAGGGGCTCCCCAGAAGGGCGCAGGGAGCCTTCCTCAGAGCCCTGGTGCGCACGACCTTGGCCGAAGGCCATCAGATATGCAAGTACAACAGTTCATGCAGGAATCTCTTGTGCATGTGCTGGTGCCACTGCTGCGAGCAGGCAGTGGAACGAGCGAGGAGGGGGTATCAACCTTGACCGCCCGCCCCCGCCCCCTTCCCTTGACCGCGCTCCGCGGCCGGGCGCAAGCGCGGCCGGTCGGGGCAGCCGGCCGGGGCAGCCGGCCGGGGCAGCCGGCCGCCCTCCCCTCCTGCTCGTCCTCCTCCTCCTCCTCCTGCTCGTCCTCGTGCTCCTCCTGCTCGTCCTCTTTCTCCTGCTCCTCCTCCTCCTCCTCCTCCTCTTTCTCCTGCTCCTCCTCCTCCTCCTCCTCCTCCTCCTCCTCCTCTTCCTCCTGCTCGTCCTCGTTCTCGTCCTCCTCGTCTTGCTCGTCCTCCTCCTCCTGGTGCTCCTCCTCCTCCTCCTCCTCCTCCTCCTCCTCCTCCTCCTCCTCCTCCTGGTGGTCCTCGTTCTCCTCCTCCTGGTGCTCTCCCCCCCCCCCCTCCTCCTCGTCCTCCTCCTCCTCCTCCTCCTCGCCTCCTCCTCCTCCTCCTCCTCCTCCTCCTCCTCCTCCTCCTCCTCCTCCTCCTCCTGGTAGTCCTCCCCCTCCCCTCCTCCTCCTCCTCCTCCTCTTCCTGGTCGTCCTCGTTCTCGTCCTCCTCGTCTTGCTCGTCCTCCTCCTCCTGGTGTTCTCTCCTCCTCCTCCTCCTCCTCCTCCTCCTCCTCCTCCTCCTCCTCCTCCTCCTCCTCCTCCTGGTGGTCCTCGTTCTCCTCCTCCTGGTGCTCTCCCCCCTCCTCCTCCTCCTCGTCCTCCTCCTCCTCCTCCTCCTCGTCCTCCTCCTCCTCTTCCTCCTCCTCCTCCTCCTCCTCCTCCTCCTCCTCCTCCTCCTCCTCCTCCTCCTCCTCCTCCTGGTAGTCCTCCTCCCTCCTCCTCCTCCTCCTCCTCCTCCTCCTCTTCCTGGTCGTCCTCCTCCTCCTGGTCGTCCTCCTCCTCCTGCTCGTCCTCCTCCTCCTCCTGCTCGTCCTTCTTCTCCTGCTCCTCCTGCTCCTCGTCCTGCTCCTGCTCGTCCTCGTCCTCCTGGTCTTGCTCGTCCTCCTCCTCGTCGTGCTCTTGCCCCTGCTGAAAATGTGGCCCAGGAATGGGAGTTCTGGGAAGTCGAAGAGCACGAAGTTGCCTACAGTTGGCTACGGGCATTCAAAATGTGGCCCGGGAATGGAGTTCTGGGAACTCGAAGAGCACGAAGTGGCCTACAGTTGGCTCCGGGCATTCAAAATGTTGCCCGGGAATGGAGTTCTGGGAACTCGAAGAGCACGAAGTGGCCTACAGTTGGCTCCGGGCATTCAAAATGTGGCCCGGGAATGGAGTTCTGGGGACTCGAAGACCACGAAGTGGCCTACAGTTGGCTCCGGGCATTCAAAATGTGGCCCGGGAATGGAGTTCTGGGAAGTCGAAGAGCACGAAGTGGCCTACGGTTGGCTCCGGGCATTCAGAATGTGGCCCGGGAATGGAGTTCTGGGAAGTCGAAGAGCACGAAGTGTGTGACTGTTGGCTTAAAACGACTTCTGCGGCACCCTGTCCGGCACCCGCCCAAACCCCCCTGAGGAGTCATGATGCTCTCTTTTGACCCTACTAGAAAACTATCAGCAAACGCTGTTAAGTAAAAACCATGCAAACACACACAATCTGCCTCCAAATTCGGAATATGCGCAGCGAGCCCGATGCGGCCTCCCCCCACCATCCCTGTCAAAAAACAATACTGAGTACACTTGGCGGCGGCGGCGGCTGCGGCGGGGGCAGCGGCTGCGGCGGCTGCGGCGGTGGCGGCGGCGGTGGCGGCGGCGGCGGGGGCGGCGGCGGCGGCGGCGGCGGGCGGCGCGGCGGCGGTGGCGGCAGACGGCGGCGGCGGGCGGCACGGCGGAGGCGGCGGCGGACAACGGCGGCGGCGGCGGCGGCGGCGCGGTGGCGGCGGCGGCGGGCGGCGGCGGCGGCGGATTCGCCCCCAGTAGCTGCCCATCCAAAAACGACTGCTGAATATGCTGCGGCTCGGGCCAGGCTCGGGTGCTACATATGTGTTGGGAGGGCGGGTGAGAGTGAGCGAGACCCTCCCTTGGGCCTGGGGGGGGGGGCGGGGCGGGTCGTTGGAGCACCCAACACGGCCTCGGCGAGAAGGCAACGTCAGTGATTTTTACTATGGTTTGGGCTACATTAGACCTCCTGGGAGCCACCCTAATGTACCCTCCTCCTCCTCCTCCGATTCCTCCTCCATCCTCCCCCTCTTCGGGTAGGACGTCTTACCAAGCCATTTTTTCCACTGCCACATCCCTGATCAAGGCAACGCGTCTGGGCATCGTTTCTGGATGGGCTGGTGGGGTTACGCGAAGCGTCTACAATATAATCCGCTTGGTCCTTCCACAAGGTTCCTGGCGACCTCCGACCCAAGCCGCCGCCACCGCATAGACTGGCTTCCAATTGCTATTCCGCCTAAGATGGCTCTCGTACGGCCTCCAAGATGTTCCTTGTCACCGTGAAGTCCGTCCAAGATGACCAAAGTTGCTTCCAAGTGAACTAGCAATGCCGCCAAGATGGCTCTAAGATGGCCCATGATGGCGTCAAGACGGCTAACGAGGCTTCCAATACGCCCCCAAGAAGACTCCAAAAGGTTCCCAACGAGAACCTCTAGCAATAGCCTCATTACCCGTGTTTTGTGTCAAATGAGTGCTCGAACTCTCCACTTTTCGGTGTCCAGAGCGTCCACGATGGCCTTACAGGCCCCCAATACAAGCCAAATACCCAAAGGCTACCAAAATAATCCCAAAGAGCCCAAGAGGGCCCCCAGACAGCCAAGGCAGCTCCAAGCCAGCCCTGGAGGGCCCCAAGGGGGACCCAGAGAGGCCACACAAACTGCCTCCGAAGGTGCCCAGTGACCAAATAGCGCCCATAAACAGCCCAAGAGGGCCCCATGATGGCCCAAGAAGGCAGCACAAGGCCCTCAGCAAGGCCCAAAAGGAGCGAACATAGCCCCAAGATGGTTTCAGAGGGCCCTTCCCCCGCGTCCCCCAATGATTTCCTCAACAATTGGGGGGACACGCGGTTCGCTAGCATGGCCGCACTTTCGCTCGACATTTCACGGCACAAGCGTTTCCAAAATGCAGCGAGCGGCGTTGACTCGCCGTAGGCGTTGTCAATTAGCCCGACGAGATTGCAGATGGCCATTCGACGAAAGTTGGGATATCAGTCGTGCAACACGCTACATGCTTTACTTTTAAGACATCCTGAAGCTTGGAGTGAAGTGTTGCGCCCCTCCGACCTCGCTGTGGCTGCGTCGCCTTTGCCTCGGGCTGGGCTTGCCCGCAGGGGGCGTCAGCGGCGTCAGCTCTTTCTCCTGACGGCCAGAGAAATATCCAAATGCCTGACGCTCTTGCAGTCTAGCACAAGGGTAAACAAAAACTCGCAACATCATCACACGGAATGACATCCTCAACCAGCGAATTCCGTTTGGATGGCTGGTGCGCCCCACCATCTGCCCAAGGCCTCGATCCACCGACATCTCTCTCTCTCTCTCTTTCTTTCTTTCTTTCTTTCTTTCTCTCTCTCTCTCTCTATATATATATATATATAGATATCAAGAAGTACCCACCGGTCGGAAGAAATAGGTAGAAACATGGAGTAGGAAGGCGGAGGAACACAACCCCCTTGCAACCTTTACCCCGAGGACAAAAACTCTTACAACTTGCAGCTGGGCTCACTTGTGCACCCCACTACGGAACTCGTGTGCATCACGTTTGACAAGTCCAGGCCGTCTTCAGGCGAAGGCAGGAAAAAGACACAGCTGGGATAAGACACATCGGGTATCTCTAAGAGCCGTCGGGATCTGGGGGATCTTTCGGGCGCAGCGGCCGCTCCAGACCTTTCCAAGAAGCGCCGACAGTGCCCTGGAACCCTCTGGAGCGGCATGTCTTCCCTCATCCCGTGGAGCCGAATGTGGCGTGTTTCTGGCGGCCGGGCATCCTTGGTACCTTCGCGCGAGACCGCTGGCGTCGGGGTCCTGGTGGCGTCGGTCTGGGTGGCGTCGGTCTGCACGCCGCATGCCACCATCTGCTTGGGGGCGGCGGGCTGCGGCCTCTTCTTCTGCTGGTCGTCCTCCTCCTTCCCCTCCTCCTTTGCCCCCGGGGCCGGCGCTTCCGGCCCTTCGCCACCATCGCCCTGCTCCCTGGCGCCCGCCACCTCTATCTGAGCTGCCCTTGCCAGCCTCTCCCGCAGGGACTGGGCGTCCCTGCAGACCTCGTCGTACTGGCGACTGATCGACTCCAACTCCTGCGGTGGTGGGCGGAACGCAGCCAGAGGCCCACGTCTGGTGCCCTCTTCCGCCCTCTTCCTCTTTGGCCCCTCCCCACCCTCTCCATGAGGAGGAGGGGGGAGAGGAGGAGAGGATAGGAGAGGGAGGGTCGGGGTGCCGTTCTTTCTTGCCGATTGTCCTTCTGCGCAGCCTCCAGCTGCCTCTTCAGCATGCTGCTCTGTGACTCGGCTTTCTGCTGCTCCCACTCGCTCCTCTGGCGGAGGGCTGGGGGCCACGGTGGGCTGAGGGCCACTATGGCCTCGAGGGCACAGCGAGCTCGGGGCTGCGATGGGCTCCAAACACCACCTGGCACTTCACCTAACCATGAACATGGTCGGGCAGGCCGACGGGCAGAGGGAGATGGGCGATCGAGCTGGCAAGGAAAGATGCAAGCCCAACGCACCCTCCGACGCCGTGATTTATTCACGGCTCGGTCCTCTAAACTCCCGACACCATCCTGGGGACTGGTGTTTCGCCGCGATCTTGATTTTGATGGCCCAGAATCGGAGACGGCCCCAAGAGGCCCAGATACAAAACCATCGGGCGTTGTGGATTTTCCAAGACGCTGGGTGGAGGAGGAAGAGAATGAGGAGGAGGAGGAGGACCAGTGTAAAACCAAGAGTCATCAACGATGTTGGAATTAACCCTCCCTCCAAGCTCCCTTTTCATAGGCCCCCACAACGGTTCATTTCCTTGAGGGAACTGCCTCGTTGGAAGACAACCGTTTGAAGATCCCGAAGCATGCCAAAACATTGTTCTCAAGTCTCCAACGCCACGTATCAACCTGACCTCTGCGTCTTGACGATCCTGAACCGTGCCAATGCGACATGTTTGGGACTTCAACACCGCGAATCAACATCACTGTTGCGCCCTCATAATCCAGAATCCTTCCAAAACGCAAATTCTGGTACGTTGATTATGGGAATCCGTGAAACTCTTGTATTTAAAAACGAATGTGCGCGGCGCTAAGGCGAGAACACCATTTTGCAGAGGAACCGCCCTCAATGCGTGAAACCCTTGAAAATGTTTCAAACGAGTGTGCGCGGCGCTGAAGCGAGAACCACATTTTGAAAACCACCCGCCGTCAATCCGTGAAGCTCTGGCAAATTTTTGCCAAGAATGCGCGCGGCGCTTAGGCGGGAACCACATCTTGAAAACGATCCGCCCTCAATCCGAGAAGCTCTTGAAAATTCTAAAAATCGAGTGTGCGCGGCGCTAAACGAGAACCACCTTTTGAAAACCACCCGCCCTCAATCCGTGAAGCTCTTGCAAATTGTTGCCACGAATGTGCGCGGCGCGAAGGCGGGAGCCACACATTGAAAACCACCCGCCCTCAATCTGTGACACTCTGGCAATTTTTTGCCACGAGTGTGCGCGGCGCTAAGGCGGGAGCCACATTTTGAAAACCACCCGCCCTCAATCCATGAAGCTCTGGCATTTTTTTGCCAGGAGTGTGCGCGGCGCTAGGGCGAGAGCCACATTTTGAAAATCACCCGCCCTCCATCTGTGAAGCTGCTGTCACTTTCTAAGCTTCAGAGTCATAATAAGAGAGGAAGTCTCAGGCGAAACGTCCGGCCCGCCCTAAAAACAGGCCTCTGGGTGCGACAGGGAGGAGTTATATATAAGCAGAAATAGTGGAAGAGGACAGATGTAAATCCAAGGGTCATCAACGGTGTTGAGATACGCCCTCGCCCAAAGCTCCCTCTTCATAGGCCCCTACAAGGGTTCATTTCCACTGAGGGAACTGCCTCGTTGGAAGACAACCGTTTGAAGATCCCGAAGCATGCCAAAACATTGTTCTCAAGTCTCCAACGCCACGGGTCAACCTTACTGTTGCGTCTTGACGATCCTGAATCGTGCCAATGCGACATGTTTGGGACTTCAACACCGCGAAACAATGTAATTGTTGCGCCCTCATAATCCTGAGTCCTTCCAGCGCGCAATTTCTGGCACGCTGATCATGGGAATCCGTGAAACTCTTGCACATTACAAAACGAATGTGCGCGGCGCTATAGCGATATCCACATTTGAAAAGGAGCCGCCTTCAATCCGTGAAACTTCTGCAACATCTAAAAACGAATGTGCGCGGCGCTCAGGCGAAAACCACATGTTGAAAACCACCCGCCCTCCATCCGTGAACCTCTTACAACTTCTAAAACTCGAATGTACGCGGCGCTACAGCGAGAACCACATTTTGAAAACAGGCCGCCCTCCATCTGTGAAGCTATTGCAAGTTAAACGACGAATGTGCGTGGTGCTCAAGCAACGACCGCATTTCGAAAACCACCCGCCCTCCATCCGTGAAGCTCTTGCAAGTTAAAAAGGAACGTGCGCGGCGCTATGGCGGGAGTCACGTTTTGAAAACCACCCGCGTTCAGTCAGTGATGTTCCAGCAAGTGTTTAAAACGAATGCGCGCGGCGCTAAAGCGAAAGGCGCATTTCGAAAACGACCCGCCCTCCATCTGTGAAACTGTTGCCACATGTTAAGCTGCAGGGTCATACATGGGGAGAAAGTCTCAAGCGAAACGCCTGAAAAACTGGCCTCGGGGTGCGACAGGGAGAAGTTATGTATAAGCAAAAGGAATGGAGGAGGAGGTGGAGGAGGAGGGGGAGGAGGAGGAGGAGGAGGAGGAGGGGGAGGAAAAGGAGGAGCAATGGGCAATGAGCAATGCGCGGGGAGTTCAAATGAGTTGCTCTACTCACGCCGAAACTCGCCAAGAACTCTGCGCAATCCGTCGTATGGGGAGGCGGGTTAGCCATGAGAGAATGGGGCGACCTCGCTGGCAGGACCAGCGCTGCCCCGAAGACGGCGAGCCCCGAGGCGCCGCGCAGACGCACGGGAGGGACCGTCTAGGGGACTGACGCCTGCCTAGTGTCTCGGCCTCGGCCTCTACTTCTACCCCCTCCGGAACCCGCTTAGGTGCCACGATTCTGGGGATAGCTGTGAGGCTTTTTTCTTCAGCACACTTGGCCACTTCGGAATCACTTAGCTAAGCACTTGCAATTGGCTTATCTTCTAACCTGCTATAGTGGCTCCTGAGTCAGCTCGTAAAGTGCCTAACCACGCGGGCCCACAAAGCGCGCGAACCCTGTTCGCGGCGGCCCGGCGGGCCCGGGCGGCGGGCGCACCTTCGACGGTAATTTCGAGTTGGGCTTCCGCTGTACGGAGCCGAGCCAACAAGTTTGGAAGGCGGTCGAGGGCTTGGATGTCCCCTTGCGCCTGACCGGCGGCCACTCTTGCCGGGCGGCCCAAGCACTACCGGCCAGGCGCCCGACTGAGAACGTTCGGGTGCTCATGTTCGAGGCGACGACCAAGATGGAGAGCGACAAGAAGCGACAGAGTACGGGTCGTTGAGGAGGCCAGGCGAGGCGCGTAGGGAGCCTGGCGTTTTTGAGGGGCGTCCGGGGGCTGCGGACAAGGGTCGGATGGCCCAGCGAGGCCAAGGGGGGGTGGGGGTGGGGGTGGGGGGTACGGGGGCGCTATCTTTTTAGCCCCGGCTTTCCTTGTTCGGTTCTTGTAGAACGCCTTTTATCTTGGCCCGCGGTGCCGCCTTTGCCGCGAGGAAATTCCCATGCGCCGAAACATGTGTCGGGGATTATTGTGCCGCCGCGCTGGACATTGGCCAGCGGGGCAAGCGTTGGTTTCTCACCGCGATTTTGAAAAGGAAACCAACCAATAATACGTTTTCTCAAGAGTTTCCCGTGCGGGCCGTTCCCATCCCAGCGCTCTGCGCCCAAAAATTGTGCGGGACAGGAGGCGCCGCGCTGGACGTGGGAAAGCGGTGCAGGCGTTATTTTTTTGTTTTTGTTTTGTTGATTTCTCCAACGGGTTCGTAAAACAGTCTACCAATACTACGTTTTTCAAGAGCTTCCGTGCGGGCCAGTTTGGTTACTTGTTATTCTCCGCGGCCGGGGTACAATCTATTGGGGGATGTGGGAATTGAACGGGTGGCGCCGGGCTGGGCGCGGCTCGGGGGACTCCGCGTCGTTTATCGTTGCGGGTGCCTGGCCCCCCAAAGTCTGGCGATAATGGGTCTCTTGTCCTGTTTATGGCGTCTCTATTTGGCGCGGCGCCATAAGTGTGCTGAGCGATGGGGTGACGCTGGCCACAGCACAAGGCCGGATGCGGGGGCCTCCCGAAGCGAAAGGGTAGACAGGTCAGAGGGGCGACCCCGTCCACAGGCATACCAGACAGGAGCCAAGCAGCGGCGGACTGGCAGCCTGCCCTTCCGCCTCTCCGCCCCCCCCCTTTTCCCGGGCCTGTGTTGGTGGGTCCGCAGGCCGGGGGCGTTTTTTTGGTTTTCCTTTTCTTTCCCCCTGTTTTTGGTTATATTCTTCTCTTGGTACGCCACCACGCGTACTCATAATCTGACGGACCTGGCCTCCAAGATCTTCCCTCCTTGAATGTTGCGGCGGCCCGCGGGTCTTACCCGACTGGGAGCGGTGTCTCGGGGTGAGTGGGTCTTGGGTTGTGGCGTCGGCATGTGCCCGTGGTCCACCATCGAGGGCGCGCGGCATCCCCTGTCGCACTAGGGAAAACCCCCTCAGACGTGGCTGGTTTCGGTGTCGGTCTCGTTCCGCTTCGCCCTCGCCCCCCCCTCCTTCCCTCGGTTTTTTGTGCACAGCAAAGGGGTAGTTTGCCAATACGTCGTGGGAAATCAGGGTGTTTTAGGAGCGGTCTGGGGACACACCGCCGCATGGAGAAGTAGCTCATGGTGTGGCATTCGTGCGAATGACGTGTTCTGGTGGTGTAGTGTTAGAAATGTAGCGCGCGTGTTTGTGCATCTGGAGGGCGCGCGCGTGTGCGCAGACTCACTGTTGGGGCACGCGTGGGTCAGGGCCCGTCTACGGTCGGGTGCGCCTCCCCCCCGGACCCCTCCCTCCCGCCCTACCCTCCCTATCCCAGGTCTCGCCTGCTAGAAGGCCGTGGGGGGTAGGAGGTCGCCTCTGAGCCCGGCTGGGGGGGCGAGGGGAGGCCTCCGCGGCCGACATCCCCCCGTCGTACCAATACCAGAAACAGTGGAGGAGGAGGAGGAGGAGGAGGAGGAGGAGGAGGAGGAGGAGGAGGAGGAGGAGGAGGAGGAGGAGAGGAGGAGGAGGAGAGGAGGAGGAGGAGAGAGGAGGAGAGCAGGAGGAGGAAGAGGAGGAGGAGGAGGAGGAGGAGGAGGAGGAGGAGGAGGAGGAGGAGGAGGAGACGACGTACTCAAAAAGG